CACCCCAAATCAACAGAATATACATTCTTTTCAGTACCACATCGCACTTATTCCAAAATTGACCACATAGTTGGAAGTAAAACACTCTTCAGCAAATGTAAAAGAACAGAAATTATAACAAACTGTCTCTCAGACCACAGTGCAATCAAACTAGAACTCAGGATTAAGAAACTCACTCAAAGCCGCTCAACTACATGGAAACTGAACAACCTGCTCCTGAATGACTACTGGGTGCATAACGAAATGAAGGCGGAAATAAAGATGTTCTTTGAAACCAATGAGAACAAAGACACAACAAACCAGAATCTCTGGGACACATTTAAAGCAGTGTGTAGAGGGAAATTTATAGCACTAAATGCCCACAAGAGAAAGCAGGAGAGACCTAAAATCAACACCCTCACATCACAATTAAAAGAACTAGAGAAACAAGAGCAAACAGATTCAAAAGTTAACAGCAGACAAGAAATAACTAAGATCAGAGCAGAACTGAAGGAGATAGAGATGCAAAAAACCCTTAAAAAAAAAAAAATCAATGAATCCAGGAGCTGGTTTTTTTTAAAGATCAACAAGATAGGCTGCTAGCAAGACTAATAGTAAAGAGAGAAGAATCAAATAGACACAATAAAAAATGATAAAGGGGATATCACCACCGATCCCACAAAAATACAAACTACCGTCAGAGAACACTATAAGCACCTCTACACAAATAAACTAGAAAATCTAGAAGAAATGGATAAATTCCTGGACACATATACCCTCCCAAGACTAAACCAGGAAGAAGCTGAATCCCTGAATAGACCAATAACAGGTTCTGAAATTGAGGCAATAATAGCCTACCAACCAAACAAAAGTCCAGGACTAGACGGATTCACAGTCAAATTCTACCAGAGGTACAGAAAGGAGCTGGTACCATTCCTTCTGAAACTATTCCCATCAATAGAAAAAGAGGGAATCCTCCCTAACTCATTTTATGAGGACAAAAAAAGAGAATTTTAGGCCAATATCCTTGATGAACATCGATGTGAAAATCCTCAATAAAATAATGGCAAACCGAATCCAGCAGCACATCAAAAAGCTTATCCACCATGATCAAGTGAGTTTCATCCCTGGGATGCAAGGCTGGTTCAACATACACAAATCAATAACCGTAATCCATCACATAAACACAACCAATGACAAAAATCAAATGATTATCTCAATAGATGCAGAAAAGGCCTTTGACAAAATTCAACAGCCCTTCATGCTAAAAACTCTCAATAAACTCGGCATCGATGGAATGTATCTCAAAATAATAAGAACTATTTATGACAAACCCACAGCCAATATCATATTGAATGGGCAAAAACTGGAAGCATTCCCTTTGAAAACTGGCACAAGACAAGGATGCCCTCTCTTACTACTCCTATTCAACATATTATTGGAAGTTCTGGCCAGGACACTCAGGCAAGAGAAAGCAATAAAGGGTATTCAAATAGGGAGAGAGGAAGTCAAATTGTCTCTGCCTGCAGATGACATGATTGTCTACTTAGAAAACCCCATTGTCTCAGTCCCAAATCTCAAGCTGATAAGCAACTTCAGCAAGGTCTCAGAATACAAAATCAATGCAAAAGTCACAAGCATTCCCATACACCAATAACAGAAAAAGAGCCAAATCTTGAGTGAACTGTCATTCACAATTACTACAAAGAGAATAAAATATCTAGGAATACAACTTACAAGGGATGTGAAGGACCTCTTCAAGGAGAACTATTAGCCACTGCTCAAGGAAGTGAGAGAGGACACAAACAAATGGAAAAACATTCCATGCTGATGGATAGAAAGAATCAATATTGTGAAAATGGCCATACTGTCCAAAGTAACTTATGGATTCAATGTTATCCCCATCAAGCTACCACTGACTCTTCACAGAATTGGAAAAAACTACTTTAAACTTCATATGGAACCAAAAAGGAGCCCGTATAGCCAAGACAATCCTGGGCAAGAAGAACAAAGCTGGAGGCATCATGCTACCTGAGTTCAAATTTTACTACAAGAATACAGTAATCAAAACAGCATGGTACTGGTACCAAAACAGATATATAGACCAATGAAACAGAACAGAAGCCTTAGAAGTAACACCACACATCTACAACCGTCTGATCTTTGACAAACCTGATACACATAAGCATTGGGGAAAGATTCTCTATTTAATAAATGATGTTGGGGAAACTGGATAGCCACATGCAGAAAACTGAAACTGGATCCCTTCCTTACACCTTATACAAAAATCAACTCAAGATGGATCAAAGACTTAAATGTATGACCTAGGACCATAAGACTCCTAGAAGAAAACCTGGGCAATATCATTCAGGATGTAGGCATGGGCAAAGACTTCATGTCTAAAACACCAAAAGCAATGGCAACAAATGCCAAAATTGACAAATGGGATCTAATTAAACTAAAGAGCTTCTGCACAGCAAAAGAAACTATCATCAGAATGAACAGGCAACCTACAGAATGGAGAAAACTTTTGCAATCTATCCATCTGACAAAGGGCTAATATCCAGAATCTACAAAGACCTTAAACAAATGTACAAGAAAAAAATAAACAACCTCATCAAAAACTGGACAAAGGATATGAACAGACACTTCTCAAAAGAAGACATTTATGCAGCCAACAGACATGTGAAAAAATGCTCATCATCACTGGTCATTAGAGAAATACAAATCAAAACCACAATGAGATACCATCTCATGCCCGTTAGAATGGCAATCATTAAAAAGTCGAGAAACAAAAGATGCTAGAGAAGTTGTGGAAAAATAGGAACGCTTTTACACTGTTGGTGGGAGTATAAATTAGTTCAACCATTGTGGAAGACAGTGTGGAGATTCCTCGAGGATCTAGAACTAGAAATACCATTTGACCCAGCAATCCCATTACTGGGCATATAACTAAAGCATTATACATCTTTCTATGATAAAGACACATGCACACGTACATTTATTGCAGCACTATTCATAATAGCAAAGACTTGGAACCAACCCAAATGCCCATCAGTGATAGACTGGATTAAGAAAATGTGGCACATATACACCATGGAATACTATGCAGCCATAAAAAAGGATGAGTTCATGTCCTTTGCAGGGACATGGATGAAGCTAGAAACCATCATTCTCAGCAAACTATCACAAGATTAGAAAACCAAACACTGCATGTTCTCATTCATAAGTGGGAGTCGAACAATAAGAACACATGGGGCTGGGCGTGGTGGCTCATGCCTGTAATCCCAGTACTTTGGGAGGACAAGGTGGGCAGATCACCTGAGGTCAGGAGTTCAAGACCAGCCTGGCCAACATGGCAAAACCCCATCTCTACTAAAAATACAAAAATTAGCTGGGCATGGTGGCATGCACCTGTAATCCCAGCTACTTGGGAGGCTGAGGCAGGAGAATCGCTTGAAGCCTGAGAGGCAGAGGTTGCAGTGAGATGAGATAGCGCTATTGCACTCCAGCCTGGGCAACAGAGTGAGACTGTCTCAAACAAAACAAAACAAAACAAAAAACAAAAACACATGGACCTAGGAAGGGGAACATCACACACCGGGGCCTGAGGGGGATGGGAGGCTAGGTGAGGGATAACATTAGAAGAAATACCCAATGTAGGTGACGGGTTGATGGGTGCAGCAAACTACCACGGTATATGTATACCTATGTAACAAAACTGCACGTTCTGCACATGTAATCCAGAACTTAACGTATAACTAAAAAAAAATTCATTAAAATATACCAAGATTTTCAGATAATAGAGAAACAATGTATTTAACATTTGCAAAATTAATATTTAAAATTTAATTGACTCCTCAACAGGCAATAAAATTTAAAAAGTGAGTTTACTGGTAAGTTATTTTAAAATAAGTATTTAATTAAATGAATCAAAAGATAATGTAACTTATCACTATATTTATTATTTTTTTATAAAATGCATTTGCAAAAATGTTTCATGAGACACACTGGTGCTACAAAAATAAATATAAAACAAATATACATGTTTACATATGTTACTTATAACATAAATATACATTATTTACATGTTCAAAAATTCCAAAATTCCAGCAGGTTTTGTCCATGATTCTCAACATGTCTGAGACGCAGGGAAAACAATAAAAGCACAAATAAACCACACATCATTTACATTTTTGCTCTTAAAAGATTGTTCAATACAAATATATGAACATAGTAAGTTTGGGAGTTAAGGTCTAAGAGCAAAGTCAGGTATTCTGTTTTATACCCACTATATTTAGTAAGTGATTCAAGTTTCATTCTGCTTTGTTCTCTCAGAATACATCCTTTACATTATAGGTTAAAATTCTTTCATAGAAAGGCTTTCTGAAGACTTTATATTAGATTAAAAAAATCACTTTACTTGAAAGCCACAAAAAAGTTATTTATTAAACTTATATGTCTGAAAGGAGTTTTAATCAATGAAAATTAGAAGTCGGATTAGAAAACATGAAAAGGATGGAAGACAGACACTGTAATTTCTGTTTGATGTATTCTGGTAATTTTTCATTTTCTCCATACCTAAGTGAAGCAAAAGAAAAAAAGACAAAATCATAACTGAATTACTTGTTTCTGAGAGACCCAAAAAGCACATTATATTTTTCGGTAATTCTTCAATAACAAGAGGCACCATAGAAAAATTATAACAATTATTTATTAGATACCTAAATCAAGTGAAGCATACACAGTTTCTTTTCTTTTAAAACAGACCATTTTCTAAATATATTTAAATAACAGAAGGAAAATTAGACAAACTTTAACTGGCTTCATCATTTCAAAAGCAAGCCAAATATCTGGATTCCTCATTAAATGTAAAAGGCCCCAGACAGGCGTGGTGGCTAACGTCTGTAATCCCAGCACTTTGGGAGGCCAAAGTGGGAGGATCACGAGGTCAGCAGTTTGAGACCAGCCTGGCCAAAATGTGGAGACCCTGTCTTCACTGAAAATACAAAATTAGCCGGGTGTGGTGGTGTATGCCTGTAATCTGAGCTACTTGGGAGGCTGAGGCAGGAGAATTGCTTGAACCCAGGAGGCGGAGGTTGCAGTGAGCCAAGTCACACCACTGACTCCAGCCTGGGCAACAGAGCGAGACTGTCTCCAAAAAAAAAAAAAAAAAAAAAAAAGCCCTAATTATACAGAAAAATATCAAGCTAAACACATTATGAATATATTTCTATTTAAATGTTAGCAATTTCCAAATGACCATACCAAATAAAATGTCAACATGTATCCTGGGAACAAGGGTTTTACCCACTTTGCATCTGTATCCTTCCACTTTCTGGAGCACCTCAAAGAGCTTTTGAAAAAGCCTCTCACTTGAAACACAGTTATTTAAGTGATGGCACTGCATTATCTAAATTTAACACAAAAATGCAGTTGGCAGGTATCTACACATATTTGTCCCAAGTACTTCCATTACAATAAGCAGTTCTCATAAAAGAGCACATCTGCATTGGCATCGTCAGTACCCTATTTTTAGTAAGTTCTGATTTAAATGAGGAAAGCAAACAACTCCTTTTTTTTCGCATTGCCAGATTTCTTATTTTTGGCTTGGTGCCTGACACACATTTTCATATAGAATGAATATACACATTCAAAAAAGTCTTTCAAACATTAATCACTTTACATTAGATTGGGGATATAGCCTTTCATTTGGGAAAAATAAGCAGGTTATATCTTAAAATAAAGATTTCTTTTTTCTGTTCTTTTAAGTAAACAGGTGTGGTATATTATTTGAACCTAGAATTAGAAGTCCCTTACTTCTGAAAAGGGCCATCGAGTTACGCTATAACAGTGAGGCTACAAGGAACCCAGCCTCTTAGAGTGGATTACTCATACCAGTTGCCCTGCGTTAATACAGATAATCATAAAATATGCATTAATGACTATATGAACTGCTAAGAATAATTAACAGTTTAAAGAATCACATGATCATTGTCAAAATGAAAGAAGTATCTTTATTAAATCATCTATTTCAACACATAGAGAAAGAGAAATTATAGCAAACGGCTGAATCTCAACCAGTATTTTAAGAACTTACCTAGTTGTTTGACCATTTGGTGAGGTATAACTGATAGAAGACACTCCTGCCTGCACGACCAACTGGGACCCATCATTAAACTGAACCCACACAGCTCCACTAGTTAACTAGAAAAATAGTAAGCATGGGTAAGAACAGGCATAGAAAAAAAAAAAAAGCAGCAGTAGCAGCATACAAAATTACTATACAGGAGAGGGTTTGTGGTTCTGTATTAATATTTAACATATTTAACAGGTTTTCCACAGTTAAAAAAAAAAAAAAACTCTCTAAGTGACTACAAATTTGGGGCTATGATGGCAGTAGCACTGAGAATATTCATGTCTTTTTCAGGTTATTCCTTTAATAGCTAAGATATTATAATATTAAAATTATTATAAGTGAATCCCGTTTCCCATTAATTTCCACTAGGATTTCTTGGTTGTTGGTTTTTTTCCCCCACAAGAAATATTTAGTATTTAACAAGAAGAGATTTAGGAAATAAAAGCAACATTTTCTTTGTCCTTAAGCCATGAGAATTTCTTTCCTGGCCTGAGAATATTACATTTTAGCCTCTGAAACTTCTTCTTTAGTCATTAATAGTCACAATGTGTCACTCAAAATGGAGACGTGCATAGTACATGGACGCCAAATCAAACCGACCTAGGCTTACATCTGGACTCTGCCAACTTAAGAGTATAGTACAGGATTGTGCAAGTTAATCTACCATTATGAAGCATAATTTTACTATCTATAAAAGGAGATACATCACCTTTACTAGGTTATTTTGGGGGACAAACTAGACAATGTATGTGAAAAACATGGTAGGTACCACAAAGCAGGTGCCCAACAAATGTTACCTACCCCCATAAAGTACTAGGTTGCATTTTACTTCACTGTTAAGTAAAAGTACATGTGTCAGGCTCAGAAGTCTCCAAGTTTCAAGATTTTAGATAATATACACATATAGGTTCACAACTACATAAAATTCTGTAAGTTTGAAACTCAATACTGACTTCACTTTTTAAAAGAGGTGGGGTCTTGCTTTGTTGCCCAGGCTGGCCTCAAACTCCTGGACTCCAATGACCCTCCCACCTCAGATTCTTGAGTAATTGGGACTATAGGCACGTGACATCACACCTGGCTTTCACTTGACTTTTAATGGAAAAATCCTTTTCTTCTTTTGCCAAATGAAAGTTACTCTACTGGCTGGGTGCAGTGGCTCACGCCTGTAATCCCAGCACTTTGGGAGGCTGAGGCGGGCAGATCACAAGGTCAGGAGATTGAGACCATCCTGGCTAACATGGTGAAACTCCGTCTCTACTAAAAATACAAAAAATTAGCTGGGCATGGTGGTGGGCGCCTATAGTCTCAACTACTCGGGAGGCTGAGGCAGGAGAATGGCGTGAACCCAGGAGGCGGAGCTTGCAGTGAGCTGAGATTGCGCCACTGCACTCCAGCCTGGGCGAGAGTGTGAGACTCCATCTCAAAAAAAATAAAAAGTCTACTAATATTGATTACAAATAATTTCCAAAACCTAAAACGTCACAGATATCACACTCTACTCTTCACGATTAGTCATTATCATGACCTCTAATTTAAAAACAAATGGCAAAAGTAGGTCACCCAAGCCCTAGCAGACAACCTGTTATCAGCAATGTCTGGAGTCTTCCAACTGAACACAAATTTAAGAAGTTAACATTTTTCATGATATAACTAATGTAAAAAGGTACAAAACTTCCTTGTAAAAAGATAGCATTACAATGATTTGTATTTTTTGGTAATTGTCTTATCAGTGTGAAAATGAAAAGAAATTCGTAACAAGAAAATGCACTGTACTAGAAACTTCTCACCTGTGTAGCCCAACCAACATTTTTCACAAAAACAGATTTCAAAAGTTGTGCTGATTTAGGAAGACAATCTTTTAGACTATTAGAAGAGATGTCTGTTCCAGAAGCTGTAGTTGTAAGACCAAGTCCTTCATTTGTAACCATCTCAAAGAATAAAGGACAGGAAGATATTATTCCTCAGCATTTTTATAAGCCAAATTCAGCAAAAGCAGACAATTATGGGATTTTTCATTAGCTTAATTTTTTAAAAACAAAAATGTTTTAATGAAAATATAACCACATTATTGGAAATTAGAAAAATACAGAAAAGAATCCCCCAACCCCCTGCAGAATTGCTGTTTTCATTTTGGTGGATTTCTTTCATCTTTTTATCCCATGGCATGTTCTTTTTGTGCATGTGTGTGAGTACACACAAACATACACACCTGTTTCTTTAATGTTGCATTTTTCTACACTGCTATATAATCTTCATCGCCATGTTCATTAAATATATAATAAATTTAACCATGAGTCTATCATGAGCATTTAGGCAGTTAATGATATTTTACTAGTAAAAATAAAACAACTATATATGTATATGTTAATACATTTAGCTTTTCCGAGAGGGCTGAGATTAGGGCTCATTGAGGTAACATTTAAACAGAGACTTGAAAAATAAGACTTACGCATATAAAGTTAAGTGTTTGGGGAAAAGAGTTCCAGGTCAAGTGAACAGCATGTGAAAAGGCCCTTTGACTTGTTTAAAGAACTGAAAGAAGGCCTTTGAGGCTCAAACATAGATAGTATAAGATAAAGTGGCTCAGGATGAGGCTGGAAAAGTACGTAGATGATAGTAAAGTCACAATAAACTATTTTATATGAAGGGCATCAGGCAATCATTGAAAGGTTTAAAGTATAGAAGTGACATATATTTACTTACAGAGGGATTAAGGATTGGTGCCTGTGATGGAGAAGCAGCACTATGCATGACCACTCTATTGAAAGATGCTCTATCTCTCGCTGGGTAATCTGAATCCACAGGAGGAGGAGGTGATAAGGCCTTAGGTGAACTAGTACTACCAGGTTTTCTGAAGGAGAAAAGTCCAAATATATTCCCTTGAAGCTTTCAATTTACAGAAAACTAAAGAATGTTTATAATATAAACACCAAACTTTTAAAACATTTTAGCCACATGTTTAAAATTTTCAGACATTTACCTTCCTATGATTATTGGGAAAAAGGGAGCACTCCTAGTTTTCCTTTCCTCTTCTGAAATTATGGATTCCAGTGCTAAACAAATACGATGACCCTATTTCAAAAGAAGAGTGCTTCCGTCATTGTTTCACCTATGTCATTTGTAATCATTATTAATTGGTATGAAAAACCTATAATTAGGTATGTACCTCATTCGCATGGTCCATATACATTTTAATCTCCTCTTTCAAGCTATTAACTTCACTTTCACTTTTTAAAGTGTAAGACTTCCCTGTCTTTTCAATCACCTGAATGAAATCTTCTGTTTTGTGTATTTTTACCCCTAAAAAAAAAAAAAAATAAATAAAAATCAGGAAACTGTTTTCTTATCCTTTTTAAAAATATTCCTAGATTTATATTTATTATCATACCAGTATATAATGGCACCTAGATCAAGGTATCGTTTTTATTCATTTATTGACTATTAATAAAATGAGACTATCAAAGTATTCAATAAATATAGGTCATCCATATTTTTCCCAACATATATCTGGTTTAAGCCTGATACTTCTATATTTTAAAAAATCACTATATTCATACAAAAACATAATTGAAGGATAGCTATAATTATATGTGTACTGTGTGATATGAATGCTTTGTGTCCCTTAAAGGAGTTTTATAGATTAAAAAATAGTTCATTTTTATAGAATAGATTTAGAAAATAAGAACATTCATCTTTACAGAATAGATTTAGACTCAACCCTATCCTTTTTGCTACATTTATAATTCTGATAATGTGGTATATGTCCATTTAAGAGTTCTAATAATAAACAGGACATCGCTCATTTCATGTGATTTTTATACCATCAGCCTAGATGTAAACCGGAGCTAAGTAGGAAAAGAGGACCAATATACATATTATAGGATAAATTGTTTAAAGGAAGGCTCGATAAATTTTGGTTAATATGATCTGACATGTATACTCTGATGTGCAATTTATATGTATAGTTACACACATACCCATCTTTAAAACTGGCTGTGTTGAATTTTAAAAACCCACATATACATAACTACTAAATTACAAACTAAAGGAACAAATTACCATTTCCAAATGGTACTTACCATCATAAAACCAAACCTCAAAATCAGCACCGGGAGAATTCTCCATCAAAATGCATTTAGCGTATCTTGTAAAATAAGTGATTTTGGGAGACTTAGATCTTACAAGCTGTACAAACCTGGAAGCGTATTGATATTTTCGCCAGTATTTTTCTAAGGAAAAAAAAAAAAACTTAACATTAGGAAAGAAAGTGTTGACCTGACATATAGTTTTATCTATTTATTGTGATTTCTAATAGGGTTACATTAGACAGATTTTCTTATTCTTTTCTAAGAGTAACCTCAATGAAGTCTTACTATTCAGTACTTATGTCCCCAGTCCATAACATTCAGAAACCAAACTGGGAGTCAAATTTGGTTAACTATAATTATAAATAATCACTTATGTAGCAGCAGTGATTTCAAAGGTGAAAAGCCACATACATGGTGAATTATTCTTTAAATACAGAAGGCTTCATAAATTTGTGAGTCACGGGGGCCATGTTCTCTGTAACATTCCAACTTTAGTATATGTGCTCTGAAGCAAGCACAATGTTGAAATTTTTTTAACACAACTATAGCCACATTCTAAACAAGTATACAAATTACATTTGTGAGACATATGACTAATGTTCTAGCGTTAGTTTTTACTTACAGTACCATTATAACACAGAATATTAACAATAAACATTGCATTAAAGGCATGCAACTCTCACCAAAAACAAAGTACAAGAATATATGACCTTAAGTTTGACTGAAGCTATTTATAATTTATTATATCTATATATGGAGTTTATACATATATACATATAAATCTACTATCAAAATTTACTCCCTAGTAAATTCACATACCTGGTAAATTGTCAAAGCTGTACCTACTGATGTTGTCAGTAGGTGAGGGTGGTCTATCAGCAAGAGGAAAACCTCTTCCATCATTTGGATAATAAATAGTGATCTGCCAAAAGATTTCTGAAAAATTCTAATTACATGACATTAAGTTCCAGTACTATATATTGCTAAAACATATAAAAAGTGTTTAAATGTAACATTAAATATTATTTTATAGAAAAATGTTAAATATTATGTAAAAGTAATTTTTTTGTTTTTTAACTTAAACCAAAAGTTTAGATTTTCTTACCAGATATAATTATTTTTAACACTGCACCAATTTATTTAAATATATTTAATATGCTATTTCAATTTTTGAATTCCAGAGACACTATCATACCAGGAAACTGATTAAAAAAAAACTTATCATTATAAAATGAATTAGAATGCTAAATGTGCTTAAACGATAATTTGAAGTTGCAAGGTAATAAAGTAACTACACATTACCATATTTCCATCACTAGATATCTGAAGAACTTCTTTCACATATTCTTGAGAAGCATACTCCTTTAGAAGCTCCACACACACCTCCTCTGAATCAAGTATGCTCACCTAAAAAAAAAACCCAAAAAATCAGTAATAATTATTTTGTTTACTAGAACAGCTCTGACATACATAATACTTAGGAGTACTTAACCATGGCAGAAACAAATATTGAAGTCAAAATCAAATAGCTGCTTCACTATAACAGTCCAGATCAGAGGTATATTTGAGCACAACTGTGAACCATATGGTGCAAAGGTAAGAATGTATAATGAAGTGTCAAATGATAATCAATGAGCAGAAAGCAAACAGAAGGTAGGGTGGAGAATAAGGACTTTGAAAAGATAATAGCAAGCCAAAGAAAGGCAAGGATGAAATGGGAAGTAAAATGCGAACAAAGAACAGGATAAAGATAGAATTAAAAAAACACACAGCATTCTCAGTTCACATACAATAATTTTTAAACTCTAAACTTAAATGTGCATATGCCTTTTCTTTAGTTCCAGATGCTAAAAAAATAAAAGTTATATTTTCTAGTTTTTTAAAAATTGAGATGGGATTAAATTTAGAAACAATAAAAATAGAAGCAAAAGGATAATATTAGCTCAGACTGGAATTGTGAACAAAATAATCTTTAACCCAGCATAGAGCCAGTATTATTTTAAAATGTTTTTCATTCAAATCTACTTTAAATTAATAATTTAAAATTCAAAACGTATCAGTATCAATTCACTATTCTTAAGAAGACAGGGAAACAAGAGCTGTTTTTCCATAAACACCCAGTCTCTTTTCTCTTTAATAAAGTTGATCATGTATACACCCCAAAGTACAAGGACATTACAGAGGACTAAAAAATGTTCTCAAGAATTGTATTCTCAAGTAAAATGTTATGTAGTAACTTAGGAAAATAACAGACATACCACAGCCTTTTTTGTTTTCTGTCTGATTGGTTTTAACCTGTGAGCAACCAACGGAGATGTAATGCTTCTTAATGTACGATTCTGATAACCCAATGGTGGCTCCATACCCCTAGTTTTGCTCTGTTCAGAAAGAGGATCTGAGCCAAAAACACATTCTTGTTGGATTATCTCAGGTTTACTGTGAAGTGCAGTCATATATTTCACGGTATTTGGCTGTTTTACAGAATGTGCATTATCAGAAGCATCAGAGTTCTTTTTGACTTTTGTATCAGTCCAGGCATTTTTTGATGTGTCCTTCTGCAAATCTGGATGGCCCTGGAAATCCCGGTTTGGGCTGATGCTGTCATATCCAGTAGTTTTTCTTAAATGAGCTGTAATATACATAGAATGAAGCAATTTAGTAAATAACTAAAAACTCAAGTTGACCCAAAACAATGTCACTCTGATTATAATAGCATTTTTTAAACAAAAGAAATCTAGTAAAAAAAACAAAATAAGAGCTCATAATTTTCTAACAAATAAGCAGTTTAAGACATGACTTTGAAAGAACATTTTAAACCAGATTGTGAAGAAATATCTTTAGTATTCCTAAGACTAAGACACAAAAGATATTAACATAAAATTAATTTTTCAATTAAGGCAAAAACCAGTCACTATATGGTCACCTATTAATCCTAAAGCATGCAATCGCCAATGCTCCAACAAAAGCAGATTTGAGTTCCCAAGTAATCATTCTACATGAGAAAAATATATAAATTTACTCTCTTTAAGCTAAGAACTGTCTAGCCCATCTTTACTTAGAAATACTTGTAATTAATGAAAATATGCAACTAAAAGCAAAAACACTATATGAACAGCTTTAACAGTAATATTTAACATTACAAATGTACTTGCACACACATTTTTTTAAAAAGTCATTAATTTTACCAATTTTTATTTTGTATGGTTTTAAAGTTCACATACAGAACAGCATCTTTTAAAGGCTTCAAATGATTAGATTATATAAAACTTGGTAAGGCAATTTTTCAATGCTACACTCTAAAAATTTGAATTACAGTTTTTTTTCTTAAATGACTTTTTAGTGCTTTCTCCCCACTCTCATTATGACAGAAAGTATTTTGTATCAAATAATAAATTGAAAAATTGCAGAAGCACTACTGGATTATTATAAACAAGGTTATTTCTCCATCTCAGACAAGTCTGTGTTACTAAATATAAGTATCTGTAAACACAACAGATGTGAAAAATTAAGTATGTGGCAGTTTTATAGTTTAAAAAACAAACCTGAATTATCTCCAATTAGTACAAAAGATTAATTTCCTTTTGGGCTTCTGAGAATAATATACATTAAAAAAAAAAGAAAAGAAGAATAGACTCAAGATAACATACAACTCTCTGCTTAAATTACAGCTGTGTTATTTGCTTTTTGTCTATGAGGTAATACGATACTTGGTAAAAAATCATCTCCTCCCCTCCATATGTCTTTTTTATTCTTTTTCCCATCATTATTTCCCAGTTCACCTTCTGTGAATCTGTCATGTTCATTATTTAACCTTCAAACTCTGTATTATAAACAACATAATGACTTGGATGACAGCTGTTTAAAAATGTTTAGGTTTTAGTAGCTCTGTACTTTAGTGTGAGGTCCCACTGGTACCCTATAATGTCCTTATCAGCTTCCACTTAAAAATAAGGTCAATCATCTTTTGATTATTTTATGGGCACTGATAGAAGGTGCTGATTATAGAGTGGCTGCAAGAGCAGGGGTTAAGAATAAAGTCTCCGAGCCAGACTACTTATGTTCGAACCCTGGCTCCTCTACTGAATGGTCACATAGCTTGGGCAAATTGAGACGTGTACCCAGTTTCCTCATCTGTAAGGAGATAATAACAGTATCTTCCTCATGTTTGTGAGAACTTAATATATGTTAAACATTAAGGACAGTGGCTGACTTATAGCAAATATTCAAACACTGTAAGACAGCTTTATTGAGACATACTGAAAGTGCTTTTTTTTTTCTTCTGAGACAGAGTCTCGCTCTATCACCCAGGCTGGAGTGCAGTGGCGTGATCTCAGCTCACTGCAACCTCTGTCTCCCAGGTTCAAGTGATTCTTGTGCCTCAGCCATCCAAGTAGGTGGGATTACAGGTGTGTGCCACCATGTCCAGCTAATTTTTGTATTTTTAGTAGATACGGGGTTTCACCATGTTGGCCAGGCTGGTCTTGAACACCTGACCTCAAGTGATCTGCCTGGCTTGGCCTCCCAAAGTGCTAGGATTACAGGCATGAGCCACCACACCTGGCCAATGCTTTTTTTTTTTTTTGAGACAGGGTCTCTGTCTCTTGTCACACAGGCTGGAGTGCAGTGTGATCATAGCTCACTGCAGCCTTGAACTCCTGGGCTCAGGCAATCCTCCTGGCTTAGTTTCTCAAGTAGCTGGCACTACAGGTACATGCCACTACACTCAACTGATTTTTTATTTTTTGTAGATACAGGGTCTTGTTATGTGCCCAAACTGGTCTTGAATTCCTGGCCTCAAGCAATCCACCTGCCTTGGCCTCACAAGTGTTGGGATTACAGACATGAACTACTGCACCAAGCAAGAAAATGATTTTCTTTAAAAATCTCATATACAACACTGCAATGCTTGGTAAGTGTCCAAGTAATTAATTCTTGATTAAATACTCCATTAAAAACTCACCATTTATTTGCAGATTCCCAAACCACTGTTGTACCGTTTCAGTCTGAGGTGTCGGGTCTGCAAATGGAAAAGGAGTTTTTCCTGGACAAAGATGACTGGAGCTATATAAACAAACAAAAAAATCTCATAAGCTAATAAAAAATTATCAGGTAACTTTTTAAGGTAAAAATATTAGAAAAGGATTTCTTCTGATTTGAATACCTGAACATTTTAGAATAACTATAGAAAACAATATTGGCATAACTATGCTATCTCTAAAAAGCTAAACTCCCATGCCAAAATGCCCAGGGCACTTTGACAGCATTTCTATGTGGCTACTGCCCTCTTATAATTTAAGCATAAAAATCATAAAATGAACAGAAAAAGAAAAAATCACACACTACAGTCACTAAAAATTAGTTTTCATGTTGGAAGCAGTCAGTGTTATGAACACTCAGGCTCAGCTTTTCTATCTATGTATACAGTTATTATTAAAGTACTTTGGGGGTAAGGCATGACTAATATATATGATACTTTGCACTGGAGACTCACTCCATATAAAATTAAAAAATAAGACTAAGAATTTCCAAATATTAAACAATTTTATAAACACATTCATGAACACACACACTCCTTTTAAGACTGTTAACCATAGGTCAAAATCCATATGAGTGTTTTTTTTTTTTTTTTTTTAGACATTCATTTCCCTGGTAACCCCCCGCTTAGATGCAGCTTCATATTTATACTAGTATAACGTTACAAAAACCAAAATGTCTTTGATAGAGTTATTCTTACAGTGCTTGATTGTTGTCAGGTCTTTCAAAAGATCCAGAACTACTGGATGTCTTTTCTTTAAAGAAGTTAAAAATGTTGGCATTGTTGTTTGTGGGTGAGTATCTCCCTTCATTTTCACCTCCTCCTAATCTTTTGGACATTGAAAGCATTTCTGCTGAGTGACATCGTTCCATTGTATATGTTTTTGCTCGAGATTGACTATTAGAAGTGCCAGATCTATCAGAGGAATAAGCTCTACGAAGGTATCGAGAATGTGGTAGCCTTTCTTCTGCATCTTGAATTACTCTTCCCCTTCCACTATTACTGGTTTCTTGATTTCCCCACTGAGTATAAAAACTGCTTCCATCTCCTGAAGAAGAAAAATCATTTGAACTTTTATTCTTTGGAAATACAGTCATTTTATTTGGGAGTGGCTGACCAATCAAAAGTCTTCTTTTGTCAAATAAACTACCACTTATACTGGTACTGGAAGAAGCTGTAATTGCAGTAGAAATTGTGGCATGCCCACTATCAATTGAGTCTTCCACAGTTCCTAAATCTTTACTTTTCGTTGAAGAATTTTGGGACATAAAAGGATGGTCCAATACTGAAGACAGACTTAAACGATCTGCTGGATTTCTACGAAGTAACTGGTGAATAAGGTCCTTGGCCTCTATTGACAAAAAAGTTGGCATTTCATAATCTGCCAATACTACTTTATTTAATGTGTTCTTGACTGTGTCAGTGTCAAAGGGTGGTCTCCCGATAAGTAATGTATAAAACATACAGCCCAGGGACCAAACATCAGATTCAAGGCCATGTGCACTTCGAGTGGCAATTTCCGGTGAAATGTAGTTAGGAGTTCCACATAATGTATAGTGCTTTTCATGTGGCATTTTCAACTGAGTTGCCAGCCCAAAATCAGCAATCTTGATGTTCATATTACGAGTAAGTAAGAGGTTAGAAAGTGTGAGGTCCCGGTGTAGTATACCATGAGAATGAAGATACAACATCCCTGTAATGATCTGGTGCATGAAGTGTCGAGCTGTTAGGATTTAAAAAAAGAGAATTTACAATTTGGAAACTCTGGAAGATTCAGCATCTAGTATTTAGTATACATTATGAAACCCAGGTAAATGTTCTACTACAATATTCCAGCACTGTAGTAGAACACTGGCTTGGAGCTTAGATTTACCAGTCACTTTAATTACCAGCAATTACCAGAGTGGTACCATCACACCACTCTAAAGATATCATATCAACCTTTAAGAAAACTAGGCATTCCTTTTAATCTTTGTTCTTTCCAACTGATGAGTGTTTTACATGCAGTTAAGAGAAGCTTAATTTTTTTTAGCAATTAAGAGTCATTAGGGTAACCATGGCAATTAAGAAAAACAGTTGCACACTGGGCCAGGCACGGTGGCTCACGCCTGTAATCCCAGCACTTTGGGAGGCCGAGATGGGCAGATCACGAGGTCAGGAGATCGAGACCATTCTGGCTAACACAGTGAAACCCCATCTCTACAAAAAATACAGAAAAATTAGCTGGGCGCTGTGGTAGGTGCCTGCAGTCCCAGCTACTCAGGAGGCTGAGGCAGAAGAATGGCATGAACATGGGAGGAGGAGCTTGCAGTGAGCCAAGATAGCGCTACTGCACTCCAGCCTGGGCGACAGAGCAGGACTCTGTCTCAAATAAAAAAAAAAAAAAAAAGAAAAACAATTGCACAAACATTTCATACATATATTCTAATTGTTAAAAAAAAGAAAAAGCTAAAGTTCCATCGATGTCCCCCAAACTCTCCCAAGTACTCAGTTTGTAAGTTTTTTTTTTTTTTTTTTAGGATGGAGTCTTGCTGTCACCAGGCTGGAGTGCAGTGGCACAATCTCAGCTCACTGCAATCTCTGCCTCCAGGGTTCAAGCAATTCTCCTGCCTCAGCTTCCCGAGTAGCAGGGATTACAGGAGAGTACCACCACACCCAGCTAATTTTTTTGTATTTTCAGTAGAGATGGGGTTTCACCATGTCGGCTAGGATGGTCTTGATCTCCGGACCTTGTGATCCAACCATCTCAGCCTCCCAAGTAGCTGGGATTACAGGCATGAGCCACCATGCTCGGCTAATTTTTGCATTTTTATTAGAGACAGGGCTTCACCATGTTGGCCAGGCTGGTCTCGAACTCCTGACCTCAGGTGATCTACCTGCCTCAGCCTCCCAAAGTGCTGGGATTACAGGCGTGAGCCACTGCGCCCGGCCTAATAAGGCCTTTTTTATGAAGTATTATAAAAAAAATGCAGTAGTCATTATCAATATGAGTATCATTTTTTTTTAAATTTGCATTATTTCTTTGCAATAAACGTCTAACAATGGAACCTGAGTCAAAGAATATAAATATTCCCGTAACTCTAATGTTATGCCCACATTGTTTTCCAATGGCTTATATAGATTCAGATGTACAAGAAGCCTATCAGCAACTACTTCTGTTAGCCTGTCTGTAATCTCAGTTAGCAGAGCAATAACTTGAAAACAATAATTTGTGTTAATGTATAGACCTTATTTGGTTCTGCTTTGAACTGCAAAAAATCATGAGAAATTGAGGAAATCTGAAGCTATATATTTGATAGTAAAGAATTATTAGGTGTGATAATGACTTTGTGGCTATGTTTTTAAAGAAATCTATATTTTGAAATATTTATAGTTAAAAATATGTCTATAATTTGCGTCAAAATACTTTGGAAAATCAGGGTAGTAAAAACGGTAAAGATGAAATAATATCACCATGAGTCACTAGTTTGGGAAGCTGAGTGTTAAGTTCAGGGGACTCATTATAGAACACTACTTGCATGTTTCATGTTTTCTATAATAAACAGTTTCAATGGCTATTTGTGCTTGATTTAGAACTACTTTATAGTCACCAATGGCATCCTAAAAAGCTTACTACATTTGAAAAAATACACAGTAAACTGCTGCCAATAATTTAATTTAAAATGTTTTAAGGACAGAAGGGTAACAAATTTCTTACTTTACTACTGTAATAATTGAATTGTTTTAAGAATTAGCAGCTTGGGACGGAGGAAATCTTTTCTAGCTGAAAGTAACAATTCAAACAGTTTTACTATATATTACAAAATAGCATATTCCTCAAAACTACACTTTAAAATGCAAAACTTTTATCCACCCAAACAAAACAAACAAAAACAGACGCCTACCTTCATTTTCTGAGAAGGGTTTCACTCTATTCTTTAGATACCTGTTCATTTCTCCATTATGGCACATTTCTAATACCAGATATACATAATTGCTATCTTCAAAATAGTTATAAAGCTGAAATGTGAAAGGGCATAATAAATTAAAATATTCAAAAATTCACTGTCCTTGGTCACTTCTACAAAATTTGTATCTTACCTCCAAGATAGAAGGATGCTTCAATTGGCAATGTATTTTCACCTCATTTTGGACTCTCTGTACCATTCCTGCTTTGTACATGGCTTTCTTATCTATCTAAAAATAACAGGTTTAAATGTTGACAGACTTTCAAATGTAAACTGGTTAAAAGTGAACTTTGAAAATAAAGTATACTTTAAAATAGACTGAAGTCCTTTTATATGTCTTTGCGGTCAACCTACTGTTATCTGTTTTCCTCATGCACCTAGCAGAGTGCTCGGCAGAGAGGATGCTTGGTAAAAGTTTGCCCAATTAATTCTAATATCCTATCTCAATTTAAATAATCTAATAGCACAACCAGCCTAACTGTAAGAAAAAAAAAATCCCAATTCAGGCAAATTTTAAAGCAAAACCTCCATTTCTTTTTCTAAGTGGTTTAGATAAATGATATTTTTTTTTTTAAAGACAGGGTCTCACTCTGTCACCTAGGCTGGAGTGCAGTGACATGATCACAGTTCACTGCAGCCTCAACCTCCCAGGCGGAAGCAATCCTCCCACCTCAGCCTCCTGAGTAGCTGGGGCCACAGGCACGTGCCGCCACACCCGGCTAATTTTTTTTTTTTTTTTGAGATGGAGTTTTGCTCTTGTTGTCTGGGCTGGAGTGCAATGGTGCGATCTCGGCTCACCACAACCTCTGCCTCCCGGATTCAAGCGATTCTCCTGCTCAGCCTCCAGAGTAGCTGGGATTACGGGTATGTGCCACCACACTCGGCTAATTTGGTATTTTTAGTAGAGATGGGGTTTCTCCATGTTAGTCAGGCTGGTCTTGAACTACCGACCTCAGGGGATCCACCCGCCTCGGCCTCCCAAAGTACTGGGATTACAGGCATGTGCCACCGTGCCCAGCACCGGCTAATTTTTGTATTTTTGGTAGAGAGGAGGTTTCACCATGTTGCACAGTTGTTTTCAAACTCTTGAGCTCAGGCGATCCACCTGCCTCAGACTCCCAAAGTGTTAAGGTTACAGGCGTGAGCCACCCACCCGGCTGACAAATGATTCTTAATTTGCTTATGTTTATGTTACTCCTATTAGACTGACTTTTAACAATCAAGAATAATATTTTTTATTGTTACAGGAAAATACAGAATTATACACAATGAACTCTTACAAACAAATTATTTGTTAGTTGATTTCTACTAATTACTCCAAGTATGGATAATTACACCATAAACGAGGTCTACTGAACATTAATGAAGATAAAACTTATTTAAGCAAGGTCAAGGCTTTCCTAAAATAGTCTTAAGTTCAACGGCTGGACTTGGCACTATTGTCTTCTGCCTATGCAAAGTGTTCCTTACACCATAATCAAAGGAAAGGCTGGTGGGTAAGGAGTTTCTTACATCTCTGATATCTCTCTAGTTACTTGCAAAGTACAGGAGAGAAGTTGATTAGTTTATTCTTACCATTTTGATTGCAACTTCCAAACCAGTGTGAATGGACTCAGCTCTGTAGACACCAGCAAATGATCCTTTACCAAGCAGATTTCCAACTTTAAAATCCTTAAAAGTTAAAATTAAAGATTATGTGTGATGACTCACAGTAGAAAGGAAGATGGGAAGGGGATGGAAAAAGAAGATAAAATGGATCGAGTGGGGAATTTGACAAAATTCAGGCAGGTATTACACCTCGATGCAGCAGGTGTCTAGGGTGGAAGGCATGTTGACTCCGTGCGGGGATCCCTGAGCTTCCAGGCTGGACTGGAAGCTCAGGGTGATGGTGCACCCTAGTGATCTGGTTCCTCAACCTCAGTGCAGCCTAAGCGCCCTCCTCCCATCTCCAGCCAACCCCTGGGAGCCGAGGGCCTGGTCAGAATCCCGCCGCAACTCCCGCCGGAGATAACCGCCATCCCCTTGGAGAAGTGTGAGGTAGCCCTGCCCTGCTCTAGCGCGGCAGCTCGGGCGGGATTGCTGACAGAAAGCCGCAGTGCCTGGGGACACTGCCAGGCGGCGAGGGTCTCACCTGTCCCGCCTCCCCTACTCTTACAGTCTCCGCGGGGCGGGCCGCTCCGCCCCTAAACAGCTGAGGCCTGGGCGGTTGGGACCCTCCCTAAGCACCTCGGTGCCCGCCCCGCAGCCGTTAGCTTCGTTCGCTCCCCTTCCCACAGCGGTCTCGTGTCATCCCACAACTACTCCCACCCGCCCTGCTGCAGACTGCCTAGTCTTTTCACCTCGATCTTCTCCCCGATGCAGGTCGCCATATTTCCAGGCCCTGGCCTGGGTTCTCCGGATTAGTTTCCTTCACGCAGTCCCTTCGAGGCAGCGCTCCAAGCAGCCAGCCGGTCTTGGCGCCCATCAGGCTCGGCTCTCTAGACCGCCGCTCCAGGCGACGACGCTAAAACCACGGAAAGTTCTCCCTGACACCTTCCGAGGCCTGGGCGGTGCCTATGCACTACCATTTTGAAAAACTCCCGCCGGTTGCCGTCCGAGCGAGGCCGGTGGTGACGTAACGAGAAGGATCACTCCGGAAAGGCTGAGTCGGGGCGCGCATGCGCGGCAGACACTCCTTTGCAGCCGGCCCAGGGTTCCAGACTTCTGGGCCAAGGGCCGGAAGCGCTGCGGAGAGTTCGGGCTTGGGCGGGAGTATGCCGCGGGCCCTCTCTCGGAAGACCTCCTGAAGACGGGTAAAAGAGCAGGCCTTAAAGATGGAACACTTATAGCTGATCGGTTACTTCACGGTCCGAAATACCACTTCTAATTCCGGAAAGGGTTTGAAACTATTTTAAAATGTCAAGCGTTTAAGACTTGACGGAACAGGGAAAAAAACATTACCCTCCTTTAAGGAACACCGTTTACACCACTACCGCTTATTCCATAGTTTGTTATAACTGTAATAAGTGTGTACGGTACCTTAAGAACTCCATTCTTTATTTTGGTAAACTCCTAAGTATTTAACATTATAATGTCATTTGTATAACTTACAGTTAGGAGATCTCTCATACACATAATTTGTATGGACCAAAAGAGACTTCTGTAAGTTTGGGATGGTGTTTTGCAGGTGAGAAAAGTGTGATGCTTAAGGAAGGATATATAACAAACAGAAGTAGCGCACAAACTTAGATCTCTGTTATTAAATGAAAGCTCTTTTCCTCGATGTTAGTGAGTATTTCTTTTTCTTTTTTTTTGAGACGGAGTCTCTCACTGTCGTCCAGGCTGGAGTGCAGTGACTCGATCTCGGCTCACTGCAGCCTCCATCTCCTGGGTTCCAGCGATTCTCCTTCCTCAGTCTCCCGGGTAGCTGGAATTTACAGGTACGCGCCACCACACCTGGCTGATTTTTGTATTTTTGGTAGAGACGAGGTTTCACCATGTTGGCCAGGCTGGTCTCGAACTCCTGATGTCAGGTGATCTGCCCGCGTCGGCTTCCCAAAGTGCTAGGAGTACAGGCGTGAGCCTCCAAGCCCTGCCCTTTTTTTTTTTTTAAACTTTGTATTTTGAAATAATTTTAAGCTTACAGAAAAGTTATAAGAATAATAGAGAACTCCTATTGTCCTTTACTGAGATCCACCACTTCTTAACATTTTGCCACACTTGTTATACTATTCTTCATGTATAATATGTATGTATAAATATATAATGAGCCTATTATTTGTATTTTATGAATCATTCTAAAATAGGTTACATACACTATGCTCTTTTACCCCTTATTTCTAAAGTGTGAATTTCTTAAGAACCAGGGTATCCTCTTGAATGTTTATCAAATTAAGGATATTTAACATTGATACAATATTTATATGAAATCTAATCTACAGCCAATATTCAGATTTGTCAATTTTTCCAGTAATGTCTTAATTTAACATTTTTTTCCCTCCAATATAGATCTAGTACAGGATCACATACTATATTTAGTTACCATATCTTTTTAATCTCCTTTAATATGGAAGAGTTCCTCACATTTGTATTTTTGTGACATTGAGATTTTTGAAGAGTGCAGGCCAATTATTTATCATTTGTTCATTTGTTCATTTCAGTGTTAGGTATAGTTGACAAAAATTGTATTTATTCAAGTTATACAGCATGATGATTTGATATACATAATACATTGTGAAATGATTACAACAATCAAATTGACACATTGTCACCACCCTTAGGGGTGTATGTGTGTGTGTGTGTTGCAGTTATTTTACAGAATCTTCCCTACTTTGGGTTTATCTCATGTTTCCTCATGATTAGATTCAGGTTATGTATTCCTGATTGTAATATTACATATGTGAGGTTATATTCTTTACACGAGACCACATTTGGAGGCGCATGATATTGTTTGTCTCTCATTAGTGATGTTAATTTGATCCCAGTTTCTCCACTGTATAAATTGCTGGTTTTCCTCTTGCAACTAATAAGCAATCTATGGGGGAGACACTTGAATTTTCTGCAAATATTCTGCTCCTCAGCAAACCCCTCTCTCACAATTTAGCAGTATTATTGATTTTTCCTAAACTAGTCTTTACTATGATAGTTACAAAATAATTGTTCTCCCTCCATATGTATTAGAAACAATTTTAACAAAAAGAAGAGCCCCGCCTGGTGTGGTGGCTCAAGTCTGTGATCCCAGCACTTTGGGAAGTTGATGCAAGCAGATCACTTGAGCCCAGGAGTTCCAGACCAGCCTGGGCAAAATAGCGGAAACCTGGTCTCTACAAAAAAGTACAAAATTTAGCCGGGGGAGGTGGCTTGCACCTGTGGTCCCAGCTACTTGGGAAGCTGAGATGGAAAGATCACTTGAGCCTGGGTGGCCAAGGCTGCAGTGTGCCAGGATCACGCCACTGCACCACAGCCTGGGTGACAGAGCGATACTGTGTCAAAACAAACAAACAAAAAAATCAGAAGAGCCCTACATTTTGCCCTGTTTGATGATATACAGATGGTCCCCAACTTATGATGGTACAATTTATGATATTTTGTCTTTATAATGTATTTATTAGGATAGTAAATGCATTTTTACAAATTATTATTATACTTTAAGTTCTAGGGTACATGTGCACAACGTGCAGGTTTCATCTGCCATGTTGGTGTGCTGCACCCATTAACTCGTCATTTACATTAGGTATATCTTCTAACAGGCCCCAGTGTGTGATGTTCTCCATCCTGTGTCCAAGTGTTCTCGTTGTTCAATTCCCACCTATGAGTGAGAACATGCGGTGTTTGGTTTACTGTCCTTGCCATAGTTTGCTCAGAATAATGATTTCCAGCTTCATCCATGTCCCTGCAAAGGTCATGAACTCATCCTTTTTTGTGGCTGCATAGTATTCCATGGTGTATATGTGCCACATTTTCTTAATCCAGTCTATCATTGATGGACATTTGGATTGCTTCCAAGTCTTTGCTATTGTGAATAGTGCCACAACAAACATACGTGTGCATGTGTCTTTATAGCAGCATGATTTATAATCCTTTGTATATACCCAGTAATGGGATGGCTGGGTCAAATAGTATTTCTAGTTGTAGACCCTTGAGGAATCGCCACACTGTCTTCCACAATGGTTGAACTAGTTTACAGTCCCACCAACAGTGTAAAAGTGTTCCTATTTCTCCATATCCTCTTCAGCACCTGTTGTTCCTGACTTTTTAATGATCGCCATTCTAACTGGTGTGAGGTGGTATCTCATTGTG